CTGCTGAGCAAAATCTTTCACACGGAGAAACGTGTTACCTATAATTGTAATATCTATTATTAAAGTTAATTGAATTCTATGGCACATGGTAGTCGTTACGTTGGTGGATTAATTATAGACGGATTTATTTTTCTTGGATTTATTACAATAATGTGCAGGGCGCACGACGTGTACACACTATGACAGGTAGACAGCGGCGTTAATGACGAGTGTCCTACCTTATACAAGGTGTAGTTTTGAAACCGTGACATTTCTCGGAGGCATATCACAGAAGTCATAAAGGCTCAATGTAAGAAAAAGTTTCCGGACAATAGTTAAAAATACGGCTATAATAAATCATTTAAATTCGACAGTATTTCAGAATAAGCGCCAGCAATGTTTTTTATTGGAGTTTTATGGAATTAGGAATAATATCAATTACGTGTTTGAGTTTGTGTGTGTTAAGCTTCGTTATAAAGCTAGTTACAAGACGGCGGCGTGTAGTTCGCACTTACGGATTTCCGTAAGTTACAGAAAAATTAAAAATATTTACCTACAATTTTTTTTATTGATTCGGACACAGAATCGATAGCCGAGTTACCTCCTAGAAAATGACGCGGCTTTAAAACAACACCTTGTATAACACATTATAGTGAGGGGACCATTACTTACTAAGTAGTGATGTACATACATGTAACAGTAGTAACAGCAATATATCATGCGGACTTGTAAAAGTAAGGATTTTTGTTTCCACACAATACTTTTAGAAAATTTGCCTTGGTCAGCGTTTGTATGCAAATCTTATTCGCTCCGTTCATCTTTATTCATCGTTTCGAAAGGTAGTAAACCCGATATATAGGTCATAAAAGATTTTTCACATTTGGATCTATTTGCTCTGAAGTTTAGTATTATCCCTGTCTCTGCTTGTCATTTTGTGTCACTGAGCTTGACATGACTGCCCAAATACGTAGTTTAGGTTGACATACCCAAATACATTGTTTCGAAATAGCAGCAAATAGTACAAAAATACTAATTTGACATTTTAGAATGACATGATCTACTTATTTGATGCTATGTATCTTTAGCAAAACAAACCTTGAAGACCTATTGTTTCCAGATGAAGCCTATTATACTTATTTGTACAATGAATGTCATTATCTGTGTGTATCTGAATGAGTGAAAAATTGATTTATCAAAAATTTTTTTTTATTTTACGTTCAAAATGCTGTAATTAAAGTATCTCCTTCCAATACCATGTTGAAATCTAATTACTGAAAGCGTAAAACGTATGATATTTTTACGACTGATACAGTTTTGACTGGCTTGTTGGACGACTCCCGATTCCCCGGGTCAGGCAAAGTATTACTGGGTTTTTTTAAAAATTCTCAGTAGTAGCACGGAGTCTGGAATTGTGCCCGGTATATGGCAGTAGAGTCACCCTCAGTTACATGGGACTCATAACATAAATAGTGAATAGTGGGTGTTACATTGTACAGGAGCATTAAGTGCCGTATTGTGCACCTCAGCCTACCCCTTCGGAGATAGAAAGGCGTGATGGTATGTTATGTCACAATTTTGAACACACTAGAAATATTTCAGACCTACCCAAGCTACAGATCCCGAGCTCCACAGCTCTTTTTGCCCGTGAAATATGTGTTAATAAAAGCAACAACGAAACTGAAGAATTTCCTAGTCTTAAGTTAAGCGTAAACAAAACATTTTGTGATATTTTTCGTATAAATGTCAGAGCAACATTAAGTTATACCATTTATTACCGTTGGGGATAATAAATCTTCTTTACTGGATATAAACAGTTGAGTATATGAATACTAAAATAAGTATGTATTCAATACAGGGTCATAGAACTGTTTGTTATCTTGTACAGTCCAAACAGAATATTACATATTATTTGCAAGCTATGTGAAGAACGGAAATTGGCGCCACTGATTTAAGAATGTTGAAGGAACTATTAACAATTATAGCTAAGGCATACTAGAGAATGAGAGACCTCACCAGCCTCATATTTATTTATTATTTATATATATATATATCAGGCATAGGAACCCATAGAAACAAGTCGCATAACAGTCACAAAATAAAAATCATATACATAGATCTATTTACTAAACAGTCGCGCTTTGAACTTCTAGAGCGAAATACTGGGTACACTGCAAATTCAACGTCACTAATAAATCAATAATAAATTCACGAAAGATGACTGGAAATCAAAGTCGTTTTGACTAAATGTAAACCGCATAACAAGTAATAGTTAATAACTACAGAAAACAGTCATACTAAAAAAACGGCTGACTATACCAGTTTAGTTATATTATACAAATAATTACAAATCAATCTCAAAATGTGTAAAGTTAATAGAAGAAAAGAAAACTAAACAAAACAAGAAAATAAACTGGACCTGTTATTAGAGACATTCATGTGTCCCTTCCTATTATGTAGATGTTCCGTTTATTCATGCACATTGGTAATGAGCTCCTACTATTACTACTACAAATATACGGCATGGGAGTAATTTCACTTGGACAAAATAATAAAACTCCCATTCTTTTATTGCTTACACGCTTTTGTATTTTTTTACGTGAGAACTACTGCTGTTATTGCCGTTTATAAATATTCTACGTACATTAGCTGTATCATTGCATCGCATCATTACTTTGAGCGGTTTAATGCTATCTCAGACGGGGATGGAGTAAGGAAATTACTGCTCGAAGCGGTGATTTGATTTCACACCTTATTAGAAGAATTTCGAAAATTGGAACACTTTCCTTTAGATAAAAGATAAATTTTAACACCTGAGTAGGATTAACAAAGAAAAAGGCCACTCCAATTTTGTTTCTAAGTGTGTTGCTTTAAATCACGCCTCAAAATTGACCCTCAGCCCTACACCTACGCCTTCCATTAACATAGTAATTAATTTACGACGTAGGCCCTGCTCCGGAAGTCTAGTGCAATGTTGACACTTCCTGTCATCAAGCAAGTCAGTAAATCAACTAATTTAATTTGAAACCTGCTTTGGGATCACCACACAGGACAGGACTTGGAGATATTTATTAGTACGAAGATCAACATCAAAAGACTGTGACAATCCACTGCTGGATACATAATGTTAGACATATTCTTCACGGTTCACTGATGAGTAGGAAATTTCCGTTTAAAAGGCCGGCGGCAAAGCACCTGTGACTCCTTTTGATGTTGCGGGTGTCCATGAGCAGCGCTGATCTCTTACGCTCAAGCAATCCGTCTGCTCGTTTAATTCCATAAAAAAAGATTACAGTCTAAAGGTCCAGGCGTAGCGGAAAGAACTGTTCCAGGTTTCTGTTAAAGATCGAAAATTACGTCATGCACAAATGGGGCTTTTATTAACTAAAGGTTTTTATCCGACTGATTCTTTTTTGGTCCACCAACAATTGTATACGTAAGTATATTAACCGCTTGAATGCACCGATATGAGATATAATAGAAAATACATTGTGTCTCGCGTGGGTCCACGTATAGACACACGACGAGTTAAACAACAAACATTGAAATCAGATAACAATCATTTTTTAAGGAGTGATGTGAAGTTAATTATGGACAAAAGAACATACTTTTGCAGATTTTGTAACTTCACAGTGTGATTCGAGGCAGATTGTTTTAATAGGCAAACGGCACAGTTTTCCAGTTTTCTCTGAATCCATTTTTATTTTTCGTTCTTATCTATTTCATAGCGTAGCACAGTTCAACGCTTTGTTCTGTGAGCCTCTCGACTGTGACGACAATGGTACTTTTGGTTGGATTTATCAGATATGGTTTAATTACTCGTAGGTTTACCACTCTCAATGATTATGACACATTTACTTTGTAGGTAACGAAATCAAGTTAATGAATTATTATGCATTTTGTTTTTCATATGCGCAGAAGAGCTTCACACATTGCGCTTTTGGCTTATTTTGGTAAAATAAAACTGAGATTTTTTTATAATTTGTGTATAAATAAAAAGTGATAAATGTTAAATTCAGGGGTTTTACTTAAAATTTTGAAAATTAACTTCAACAATATATTCTTATTTGTTATGTTTCCTCACTACTGTACATAATGCAGAACTAGATAGACAGACAGATATTACATTTATATAATTTAGTAATATGTGTACCTACCGTATTCACGACGGCAGATGCGGTTGTAACGCTATTAACATTGCGTCATTAAAATTATTTGTCATTCAAATGTAGCTGAACTAATTTAATTACTAGTCAGATTAATTAATCGACAGTGGAGAAGTTCAGTGACATTGTTCGTATTCTGTATGGGCATATATGTCATTTGTACTGAATTATATACGAATACCTACTATTTGGAGATATACCAATATATATCTATAAATGTTCCAGCATTTCATTGTTGTTAAATGTTACAAAGTGTTGTCGAATGCGAGATATTAATATATTTTAATGTTGAACAGAACCAAATTACACCTTTCGCACATTACAATAATGGAGTGTTAGCGTGCGTGTTTACGCATCGAAAATTTCTACAGCTAAAAACACAAACTTCTTTTAGATTACTATTTTAAATATAATTTACTGGTTAAACCTATAATATAATCCCGTAAACAATGTAGGCGTCTTATTACAACCTCGTTTTACGTTTACCGCCGAAACTTGTATAAAAGTATATCATCTTTACTACTACGCGTATAACATGTTCCAGAAATGAATAAAATGTACTGAGCTTCTTTATGATGTTCCAAACTCACGGGGATTGCGTAAGACTTTATTTTATGAGATCCACGAACGCCCCGAATTTACGATATCGTACCCTTGACCGAAATTACACGATACAAAAAGCTTTACGTCCAGTTTGACACAAGCCACCTGTTTGTGTAACACAAATATGATTTTCCAACACAACGATAGCCAGCCATTGTATTTTAGGTCCCGCATTGTTTAACTAATCTAGTTTGATTAACGCTTCTGTTTGTTGTTTCAGGCAGTCCGCCGATGTAAACACAAAGTCGAAATGAGATGAGTATGCGTGTGGCGTGGGCCAGGTGGTACTGGATCGTTATATTCACGACGTGCGCCGCGAGGACCGCCAGCGACTGGCTCGACTGCGCCCACATATCCACATGCAAGTGCAAATGGTCCTCCGGCAAGAAGACAGCTACGTGTGCCTCCGGTGACCTACGCCGCCCACCAGCTCTGTCATCCGACATACAAGTCCTTGACCTCCATGATAATCCACTCCGAAACCTGCCACAAGAAGTATTCGCAACCATTGGCCTCTTAAACTTACAACGACTAAATCTCCGAGCGACAAGCCTCAGGTCAATACATCCTGACGCATTCTTAGAATTAAAAATTTTAATAGAGGTCGACTTAGGAGACAACGATTTATCCCACCTTCCAAGGGATATATTTAGAGGCAACGAAAGATTAAGACAAGTTGTACTTAGTAGCAACCCTTTGACCACCCTTATAGCGGATCAGTTCCCACCTTTACCGCATTTGCGAATACTTTTGTTAGACGGATGCAGATTAAGGTCGATACATACAAATGCTTTGAGGAATTTAAAGTCTTTAGAAAACATCGATTTGCGTAGGAATCAGCTTACGTTCCTTCGTTTGATCACATTTTCTCTACCTGCATTGAAGACGGTATCTTTGTCCGGTAATCCTTGGAAATGTGACTGTAGGCTTAGAGAATTTAAGGACTGGTTTCTAGAGAGTAAATTGGGTACTGAAGATTTGCTTTGCGTGGAACCTTCGACGCAAGCTGGAAACAAGTGGCGTCACGTCGCTAGTGAGAGTATGTCGTGTCCGCCTGAAATTAAATCAAGTACACTTGTCGTTAGAGCTGATATAGGATTACCTACGACATTCGGTTGTTGGGTCCACGGAGTGCCAAAACCAAAAGTAACGTGGTTATTTGACGGTGTTGACGTTCACAATAGCACGGTAGAATGTGACATGGAAGAAACAGAAACAAGTGTCGAAGATGACACAGAGGATAGAGTGCCAGGAAGTGTTCGATGGGTCAATGTGACCCTTTTAAATGTGACATCAAGTGCGGCCGGAGAGTGGACGTGCGTAGCGAAAAGTATGGCGGGTGAGGCGAGGGCTATAATAAGTCTCGTTTTACCAAGGTCTCAAACGGCAACGGCTCGCACTGCACCTGGGATTCCACATTTATTAGGTGTTGTATTTGGCGCGCTGGGTATACTAGCGACTCTGGGATTCATTGCAGCAGTAGCTTGTTGGCATCTCAGACGACGAACGGTTCCACCGAGCAGAAGTTTTACTGATCAAGAAAAACGACTAATAGATGCATCTGTTGTCGTAAGTTGTGATCGATCTATTGGCGACATGGCCTCACCGTGTGATTTTGAAATGACAGAACGAATGTCAGATGAGCCTCCTAGAGGATGCGGTTTTGATCCTGTTCATATAACTATAGAAGGGACACCGGGTGCATTTCCACCACCACCTGCAGAATTTGCGGTTCCAGTTCCGTATGGTAATATTTTCATATCTGTTCAAGTAGCTGGTCGAGGAGAGCCTGCGAAATACCCAGACTTGTTGAGTGGTGGCGCAACATTACCTCGACGAAATAGAACTTGTTGTGCAGCTCCAGCATATGACAACATGGGTCCTAGAGTTACAGCTACAGGCAGTTCCACGTGGTCCTTGCCAGGAGCAGCACGGAGAACGTAGAGGTGTCAGAAACACCAGTACTGACCCTACCACCGCCGCCACCAGAGTTTGTCTCCCTTTAGCCCAGGCCTCTGGTACTAGACGCCTCCACGCTGAGGTGACCTGGTACCCAGAAATATGCAGTCAATTAGACTATTCCCAAATTGTACTTTATGATAATTTCAAAGTGATTATTAATTTAAATTGTAAATAGTAGCGCTAAGACATGGACGATGTGTGACATCTGTGAGGTAAATACGTAAGATTGTTATCAATATTAATATTGTAATATTGCATTTAAAGTGAACTTGTTGTTACGTTGGGTAATGAAGTGAGAGCGATTAGTCTTCTTAATTTGACCCCTAGATATTCTTTTTATTTACATTTCGAGTAAGCGTCTTCCTATGCGTTGGAATATATGGACAGATTTTTATTCAGCCATATTTGACTGAAAATGGTGTTTCATTTTGTAAGTAACGCCGATCAAACATATTGTTAAACTGTTGAAATAACACGAAATCGTATTAAAAATACACGTATTTAAAGAATAACGTCATCAGAAAAATGGGTGTTTACTATGTTGAAACAAAATCGATTTCATCATTTTCAGGTTGATTGTATTAACAAATTTCAAATCAACAATGTCCACGAACATAAATAAATGGGAATTAAGTTTGAACTTGCGTTTCTGTCCGTGTATTCCAGCTAAACTTTTGTAAATAATGTATTGTTTATTATACAAACTTCCCAAACATAAGACTGACCCTTTTCTCTTGTTTTTCACCTCTTTGTAACTCTTAACGTTAATGCTGTACCACCTAGTCGGCCAGAATAGCTTCTAAATATCTTTTCTTTGAAAGCAAAAATATCTAATGTAAAGGAAAATAAACCGATCAAGTGAAATGATGTCGTTTTATTAGTGTTAGCTTTATCGGGACTTTCTTTTATGAACCATTATTTTCGTTCATACATGTCTTCGTTGGATGATATTATTTGTTAGTTATTCTCTGAAAGCCTATCTTCTAGGGATTGTAGCAACACGGTTTTATCATCCGGATTTCTGTTATAATCTGTGAATAAGGAAAACGTATTAGCAGCGTTTTGTATTGTTCTGTTGGGGAATTTTGAGAGAGTTGGGAATTAGGAGTACAATACTTAGATGTTCATCATTTCCTTTATCAGCTTAGACATTTTATTTTTCAATTCTCCATTTGTTTTGTGTAAATTACAAAGTGCGTCTTTATTTTATTTCATCAAGTCGTCTCTTTTTGTTTGTAAATCTACATTTTATTGTTTTTGGAGAATAAACACGATGAGATCAAATTCTTAGTAAAAAGTGCTTATGGTTCAACCTGTGATTACTAGCCATGTTGTCAGTGTGTGTTCAATAGGGATGACGACATGGTATGAACATTAAAAATCTAATTAGTCCGTAAGTTAGGTAATAAAAAATATTAGACACGTATTTTTTTTATTTTGTCGTGTAATAAAACAATACTTAGATAAAACAAATCAAAGTTTAGGAGTGGGGGCTAAAACGTCATTTCTACGTAGGTATAAAATGTACCTACATAGAAGTGACGTCACGCTACATTTCAAATCAATATATAGTCGAAAGTACTCGTTTCTATAAAAACATAAAAAATACGTATCTAATGATTTGAAATAATCTACCAGACGGAATTTAAAATTAAAATTAGGCATCTACCCTATTCCTGCCACATGAAAATATAAATGGTTAAACGAATGTACGAGATCTAATCTTCTACCATTATAAACAAATCAGAAATACAAATGAAGGGAAAATAACAAAGCCTAAACACCTAATGAAGTACATTCCACAAAATGAGTTCTTACTAAAGTTCATAGCAAGTTGTAACGTTCGGTGCATAGTTCAACTGAACCTCGGTTATGTAAAGACTAAGTTAATTCTCGTTAGCGTAATGCGAGCTCAGTATTACACCTCTACATGATGTATGCTTCCCGGGTACCGAACTGCATTAGTGGTGCTTTGCTGTTCAGGGTAAGTACGAATGTTAGTAGTAATATTGTATGTAATATACGTATACAAGGGATTAAAGTGAGAAGGGGGAGGGTTTTTTTATTATAAGTATTTATTTAAAAAAAAGTTTGCCCCACCCTAGGTTCTCATGTGTCGTGGGTGCGTTTACAAACATACAAGGTCACATCCACATGACACCTAGACCCGGAACAACAATCTGTAAATCACACAAAGAGTTGTTCCGTGCGGTAATCGAACCCGCGACACGTTGCGCGGCAGTCAGTTGCCCAACCACCGCGCCAACCGTGCAGTCAAACGAATAGGAGGCAAACGAGCAGACGGATCACCTGATGGTAAGCGATCAGCGCCGCCCATGGACACCCGCATCACCAGAGGAGTCACAGGTGCGTTGCCGGCCTTTTAAAAAGGAATACGCTCTTTTCTTGAAGGGTTTACACAGTTTAAGGCAGTACAACTGTACTTGTAGAGGAGAGGTGATATTGAAGGCTTCAATATCGATTTTCTCTTAAGTTTTCTCTAAAAGTAAATTATTACAAATGCCCTTCTTTTTCTTCTCAAGGTTAACTGTTTTCTTACATTTTGTTTCGGGGTTCGATTTCCTGATTAATTTACTTGGTTTACCTGAACTTTTATTGAAGGACATCTTGTTTTTATTGGGTTAAGTGACAAACGAGCAGATGTCACCCGATGGTAAGTGGTCAGCACTAGCTAGATTAGCACTAGAATACTGCTACTAATTTTTGTAGCTTGATGGTATGCCATCTTAGAAACCGATACCTACCTATATAGAATGTATTATTATAGAAATATAATTTAAAAACAGATAGAAGAAGAACAAAATGACTAAGTAAGTATTAAAAAAAGGTTCATTTTTCTTGTATAAAAGCACCATGTTAGACTATCCTAAGATTTTTTTTACTTTTTGTTTGATTTACATTTTTGTAAGTTTTGTAATTTGTATAATGCATCTGACATGTCTTTGCACTGTTCCCACATATGTATACCTACGTGTAATATTGGATAATGTACCAGAGGGGATTGTACTACATTTTTTTTTTTAAGAGTAACGAATTGAGTTTCTTGTTCGTTCTTTTTCATTCGAATCTACATTTTGGATTCCTGAGCACCTAGCTTCACCTAGTTTCACTGACGGACTCACTGACACATTATTATTTATTTTGTATTTGTTGACTTTTTATAAATAGGTACCAAATAATAATTAATTGAAATACGTGCTTAGACTTTCACTTTGACATTACCACTAAGCTGCTGATTAGTCACCGAATATTGTTATTTCCATAAAACTAGGTCTTTGTGTCGCAGAAAACTTATGTGCCATGTATGCAGTATTTCAACGCCATTAATTTATAAATTATTGTTCATCCCTTTATCGACAGACAGGTCGTAAAGTTTGGACGACGAAAACTACCTCTGGGCTAGGGACTACGCTTTTACGAGTTTAGGGGAAAATTTTATGGGTATCTGATACAAATTACCCTAAATCAATATGAAAGAGCACTTATTTTTAGTAATGTATGTTAGTACCTATGTCAGGCAGTCAGATATAGGTACCTAATTCAGACAATCCTATTTTTTATGAAACTGGGGCAATAGAAAATCCGAAAAGATTTTCATAATATTCTCATAAGACTGTGTAATACCATGTAAATAATATTCATACATGAATAAAATGCCTATTATAGTTATTTATTACACTTAATTTGATAAACGTGTTTATGAAGCGCCTGACGTGAACTTCATAGCAATAAATCGCATTCTAAACACTTGCTTTAATGATACACTAGGCTCCATATTACACATGTCAATTTAATTTCCAATACCTCGGGATATTTTTTTTTTAATGTCTATTAATTGCATTGCTCTCTTATTCTTATTACAAAAATAACTCTTAGACAAATCAAAATTATTTTATTCTTCTTTAAAGAAAAACTGCAAGTTGTTGAGAAGTCAACAGTCTGCCGTCGGGAAATTTGAAAGCCAACTACAATTTCTCAAATTGAGAATGAATTCCCAATTCCTAGAGACTACTCTAGAAATAGACAATTCCAGTGTCTTAGCAAAACCTACTCCACATATTCCGGCTAGCCTATCAAAGACGCACCTTTGAATGATACGACATACCAACATATGTACCAGGGCCACAGAAATCCATGGAGCGAGATATTAAGGGGAGGAATGTTCCCGACATTCCCTTAGGGACCAAATGTTAGCAGCACGACACTCAAGGCCGTAAGAAACAATGTTATAAAAATAATATATGGCAAATGGCATTTCGTTTTTGTTTTCATGGTTAGACTGGAGTGGGGTATTGAAGTAATGTATATGTATATTGAATAAGTAAGACAGTATTATTGTAAGACAGTTTATTGTTTTTTTTTATGGAATAGCAAACGATCACCACAAACGAGCAGACGGATCACTTGATGTAAGCGATCAGCGTCGCCATGGACACCCTCAACACCAAAGGCGTCACGAGTGCGTGCCGGTCTTTTAAAAAGATGCACCTACGCTCTTTTTTTAAAGGTTTGAAAGTTCGTGTGCTTTTGCTTTGTGACAAAAAAAATCAGGCCACAATGTAACTTGAAAATATTTACTTATATTTGTCGTAAGGTCTACCATTAGGTAGTATGGCTCTTATGCCCGAATACTGAAGCGTTACTCAATTTTGAGTCGTGCTTAAGCATAATTCTGTCACTACAAATTCTTTGTAAAATGACAGAGACAGCACGATATTTAAGCACGACTTAAAATTGAGTAACGTTTCAGTATTCCAGCATTAGTCTTAGACAACTATAAAAATTGCTTAAGCTGAGGTTTTTTTTTCCAATCTTTATTCTTTGGTGGCAACTCCTTTGGTGGCATGAGGTTATTTTTTATTTTATTTCAGACACCATTTTCCGGACAGATTCTTTATTAATTACGAGATAGACATCTTTTGTTTATCTACACGTTTCCATGTCCAATTTAAAATCCATTA